ATGCGGCAGCCGATTCAGACGTCGAATTTCTGTCGAATTTAATTCGTTGAATTGAATTCGACACGGCAGAAATGCGACGTATGAACCGGGCCTTAGCCGTCAAATGTCTCAGTTATCCTTAATTAAGAACTTAACGATTGCCTTAAATGGGGTCAAGTTATGCTGTTTATAAATGATCGTTTTAATATATCAGAAAAATAGATTTATGTTCAAGTCCTTTAACTTTTAGTCTCGGTAGCAGGCGATTAATGCATCCAATGGTAATAAAGATGATGTAACTACGCTAATTAGAAATACAGCTGAAGACCAAAGACTCAATTTTTAATGCACAAATTATAGGACTAATTGGATTATTCAAATATGGGCAAAAGTTTACCCTTTTATGGAACGTTACAGCCAAATTTGCGCTTTAATTTTGTATTGTAAACGTTATTCCGGAAAATTAACCTTCTACCGTCAAATGACCTAACATTCAACCGTCAACCGTCAAAGGGACCCTCCACTGAGACCCTAAATATAGGGTTTACTAAAACATGCGTTACCATCATGCTCCTTGGATGAAAAAAAGATAAAAAATCCGATAGGAACTTGGGGGAAGTAGACATGAAACAAGTACATATCTTCGTGACAACAGGTCAGTAGGAAACTCAGAAAAGTAAACCTTGATTAGGAGCGACAGAAATAATTTTATAACTGCATGTGTTTCCCGAATACACATGTGTTTCAAGAGTTCATCTAGGTAAACCCAATTGAGTCGCCTCTATGATATGCAGTGTCTTAAGCTTTACAATTGAAAACAACTGTAAAGAACACGCAAAACAAGCCAGTATCCTTTCTTTAGAGAATGCATGTGATAAGTTTACTTTGATCATGTAAGAGGAGAATAATACGTAATAGCTTCCTTGGCCCCTTTTACATTGTGCCATCAGCGTGAAGCTCATGTAAGATGCGTCTACAGCCTCTCTAGGGTATGTCACCGCATGGTAAAGAAAGGAAGAAAGCAGAAAGCCGAGGAAACAGGGAACATGAAAATGATAATGAAACCAGAAGTGTGAAAATCAAGAAGTAATGTTAGTTGCCTCCAATTATGAAACCAATTATGCGTGACGCAAATTGAAAACAGCCCTAACAATATTTAATTGACACGATCAAAATTAGCTTTTAGACCCCATTATGTTAAAAAGATGGACAACTGATCCAAGATGCTTTTAGGTTACCAATGACAGTAATAAGAAAACTATTGAAGGCAACTTCAGCCAAACGGCAAAATTATAACCTCCATGTACTAGCCAGCTCTTATTTCCTGGAGATCGGAAATCCTTAATTTCTTTTTCGGTGAATTCGAATTAAGAACTTTCATTTTCAAGGAAGGGATCAGACGAAGTTCAACCACAGAGGTCCATTGGCTAATATCGATTACTGAGTTTGTAGACGATGTCGACGATGGCCTCGTGGTTAATTTTAACTGTGTCCGAGGAAACTGAAATCACTGTCCATTCAGTCAGAGAACGGTTACTCACAGAATATCTAACATTGTACTAAAGAGCAGAAAGAATACTACAATTCATAGTCTGAGAACTTACGCAGAGCAACGCGTGATTTTCAGATGACAAATCAAATTTTCAATCAACGTTACCTGCCCGAGACACAAATCAGGCCTCTTCAATCCACTAACTGATTCTAGTGACCCTCAAAGCAACAGATCGATAGTTGACCTGTTGAAACAAATTAAATGATCAAACAGTTACGGTCGATGAAACTCATAAGCGGTTTATGGTTCAATTCCTTCAGTGGTATTAAACTGCTTTGTAACAAGGTTGTAAACCAGAATTTGTAGTTTCGAAAGGGGTTTATGGCCTTACCGATCGGTACGCAATGTCATTTGTTCAAGGGCTCAACAGCGAACAGTTTCACTATCTCAATGTACTTCGGACTGAACATGGGAGTTTTCAGCCCGTCGTTTGAGCTCACCAGTAATACTGACTAGATCGCTCGATTTGAGCACTAACGGGAAACAAAATATAATAGACGTTGAAGACCAGATCTTCTGGCCAAAAATTGCTTTGTCGACGAGAGTAAACGCCAAGCAAAGTCAGTCACTGCTTGCTTGGGATGTTTAATTTATATGAACAAGGCATGTTAATCGATTGAATTCAACATATGGAAGTCGTGCGATTGATTTACAGTTTTTTCCATATCATTCTCGCCCTCTATCGTTAAGGTCAGTAATTTTCTCTTGTGTTATAACTTGCTACATTCATTGTTAAGAAATTACAGAACCGATCTTACCTCCGAACGCTGCTGTTATAATATTCAGAGCTGCAGTATCAACTGAGTACCTCTACACTGAAATATTACAATTCCGAGTTGAACTGATAAACTACTGCATCTTTATCAACACTAACCTGCAGTACTTTACTTGGCTAAAGCAGTTTTTTGTGGGGGAATGAAGAATATATCATCACAAATTAGCTTCAAATTTAGCTGACCATTGAAACCGAAAGTAGTTCAGAAATAGGAAGTATGCTTATGAATATTCACCTATCTCGTCCCAGGGTTTTGCCGGACGTTTGAAACCCGCGTCAACCTTGGGACGAGAGTTGCATCAGGGCTAAAGAAATTTTCTATACGTAAAATAAATAAGAGTCAGATAGAATTACAATAGGCGATAATAATAATAATAATAATAATCACCATCATCATAATGACCAGTGGAGTTTTACTTTAATAATAATGAATATGCTGCAATCTGACTGGTTGAACTGTCTTGAACTATAAGCCATTGGTGTGCAGTAGCTGTAACTCGTCTACGAAATGGCCACGTTTTCCCATGTTTTTTCCCGCCGTTTTGGAGGAGTATATCTAGAAACACACTAGTGGACAATTAAGTCCCAGAGAAGGGTATTTACGGTTTCTCGACTTAAAAATTCGAAATTGTTGGGAAAAAAAACTGACGATTTTTCTTAACTGAGAAGTTTAATACAACAAAAAGAAATGATTGGGTATCGTTATTTGAAGCAAATTTCAGTTACAGTTGCATTGAAACAATTAACGACTTTGAGTTGGGGCGAAACGACCTGGGGCGAAACGGACTTGGGGCGAAACGACCTGTTTCCGTAAAACATTTTCTGTAAACAAGCGAGCTTATAAAAAAATAAACAATTGAAATTGTATTAAGTGGTTTTGTTTATTTTCCCATTTAAATTTTACATTTGGCTTTGACGGCTTTCATCTAAAAAAAGTTGAAAATAATTCAATATGATTTTTGAACTGGCGCGCGGAAGAAAATTTAGTGGTGAACAATAAAGATAATAGAGTGTTTGTCTCGAAACTATCGGTCTGATAGTTGCCCCTTGGAAATTTGATGTTCTTAAAACTAGCATATCTGCCCTCGAAGCTTGGCTTCTCGGGCAAATATTTGTTTTAAGAACGTCAAATTTCCGCGGGGCAACTATCAGCCGATAGTTTCTCGACAGAAACGCGCTATTGTTTAATTAGAAATCTCGTATTAGGGCATGCTAGGGCCACGAATTGATGTACTGGGTGTTACCAAACAATGTCCCGCTATCCTGTTTTCTGAGGTAACTGTACTGTAACTCTTCCTTGTATTTTCACTGGAGGGAGGGTGGAGAAGACAGGAACTTTTGAGGGACCCAGTGACAAGCCACGCTCTTAATTAGTGCGCGAGGAACAGGCACGATGGAATGTGTCCCTTGGGTCATAAGTTATCAAATTATAATTAATTACCTGACGTTCTATATTTGGATTGGTGAAATCGGGAACCGATCAGATTTTTGTCACAAATTTGCCATTGATGTCTTGAAAACCTTTGTCGCCTAGCAACAGCAGGTTAGTCAATACTAAATATGAAAGTTAAACCATGAAAAAGCACGAAATACCAAAAGGTGCGTTACTGCGAGTTTATTTCACTGAAGCGTTGATAAATCAAATAAATCTTTCGCCATCATTACTCAGTTAATCTAGTTCTTTATTTCGTATACAGTCTGCTATATTATGTCATTTCGTTTTGCAACCGACTATGAATAACGTAAAAGCTTACGTGCGATAGCGCGTTTTGTTTGAAAAACACTCTTGTAAAATGACCTTGCTGGGTTCATCTGAAAGCTGGAAATTCGGTGAACATGTTAAATGACACGGGCTGAGAAGTGACGGGACTTTTAAACTGACACCTGAGATCTGTGATCAGAAAAAGTTAACGAAAACTGAGAAATGGGTTACATTACATATTTAACTGATAGCCAAAAAATTGCTGCAATTCTAACTCATGAGATTCCTGCGGCTAGCACCCCCATTTAGGCCCCTTGTATTAGTGTCTTTCTCTTATTAATGTTATAGTGTAAAATCAACCTAACTAAGAATTCTTTTCGTGACGTTATTTACTGTTCAAATGCGACAAACGGCAAGATACACCTAGGAGATACGCGTCTTCTCCTAAACGTTGTTACTAGAAACCAGGTTGCCTCCATCATTCCAAGCCTCAGTGTTTGCAGTCGGATGGCGCGCTTCACATGCCATTGCGGAAAGCGAACTAGCAAAGAAGTCCGGGTATTCTTGCTTGTTTTCCCTCCTCCATTTGATTCGCCGATTTTGAAACCAGATTTTGATCTGTTGCAGAAACGGAAATATAGACGTAATTTCAGTTTTACCTCATTAAAAATGAGACAAGATCACATAGGACGTATGAATCGAATACCTTGGCTTTTCTGTACATGTGCTGTGTACAGCTCCAGTATATCTAAAATGAACTTGTTACGCGACTAAGTTGCATTAGAACTCTACTTTAGAGGACCAGCTACTAACACCAATCCACGTGATTTCCCTCTTGTATTCTGGGGAGGGGGAGTGGGGGGCAACTCTACAAAGTTCTACACGGGGAGGCTCCGTCCCGAGGTCCAGCCTCTTACCCCATTGCATAGTGCCTAATTAATGAAATGATACAGCCAGAAGGTGCGTCCGTTCGAAATATTGTAATTAAAGGCTTTTTAAAATAACTAAATGACAGATTTCCCTACCCTTTTATATACCTCAACTTGTAAAATTCATACCCCTTTCGAGTGGAGCCTCCCCATATAGGCCATTATAGGGAGTACCCCCCGCCCCGGGCTTGTACTGGACCAGGCGGTGTCTCGAATGATCCCGAGGTTCACAGTCCCACAGGGAAAGATACAGTAAGTTCTAATTCACCTGACATTTCAAAAGGTGTAATAAGCAACAGAGTTAAAAATTCACCTGTGTTTCAGACAGATTCAAGGCTTCTGCTAGCTGCTGTCTTTCAGCGCCCACCATGTACTGCTGGTCAGCAAACTCTGACTCCAGTCGGCTCAACTGCTCGGACGTAAAGATGGTTCGCTTTCGACGTTTTCTCTTGTTGACAACACTGTAACGCTGTTGTCTTGAGTCATCCCTGACTATAAAGAAACATTGCAAGATAAGATGACTTCAAATTCAGTGTAAGTTTAATTGTGATACTTCCGTTTCTGGGCTTTATAATGTGCGTTAACAAATCAGACAACAGATAGACTAGGGAGTTATATTTTTAGCTGTGCAAAAGCAAAACAGCAGCGTTAGAAGTTAGCGCTCAGCCGCTCTCCAATGCGAGTAAGAAAAGCCCGAATTAGAATGGCGAGTGCTATCAAAATTAAGTTTCCAACACTGAAAACGTTGCTAATTTTTAACTGGCTTTCGCGAGGTTTCCCACGCTCAGTCCTAGCGATTCACAGGTTTTTTTAAGGAAAATTATTACACTTATTAGACAATTATTACAATTGCTTCCATTTAAGTGTCTTTACCGTAATTAACAAATTCACGCATGTTTTGGGTTTTACAATGTCGTTGTAAATTGATTTATCTCTCATTGATGATTTTTATTTTACAGTTTTTCAGTGTTTAGTAACAATCATTACAAAACTGCTTCTGTATAAGCAACATTTATTGTGAGTTACATTTGATTTTACAATGTAATTGGCCTATTTAGCATGCCTCGTTGATGAATTTGATTGTAATTTGCCCTTTTCTTTCTTTTAGGTTTTTTGGCACTCCCATGACCGAGTATTTTTTTTTTTTTTTGCTGGTTTCTCATCAAAACATCTTTCTTTGTCAAGTTTTAATTCGGTGAGCAAAGCCTTTAAATCTTAGAGGTGAGTTTCTTTTAATTGCCTATTCAAAATTTTGTGATCTATCATTTCTTTAATTTTAGGTAAGAAAAACAAGGTTATCGAAAACTATCGGCTTGAAAGCCATCTATTATAGGTGCGTCTTGGAGAAATTAACTACAAAATGTTAAAATGTTTTACTGTAATTGCAAATCGCAAGAAATTAAACTCAAGGTTCTAATTTTTAAAGCTTATGTTTTCAACCTACCATTGTTGGAATTGATTTCTTCCCTGCCAGTTCTTGCACGTTGTGCGTGCGCTATATCAACTGTTGACGACTGAAAATGATGAGGCGAAAATGATGTCATATTAAGCGACTCAGCCGGGAAGCCATATGACTCGGGCGAGCGCAGGGCCATGAGAGAATTCACCGGAAGTTCCATATGTGATTCTGGACACGGCTCCCCCGGGTACCTACAGCAAGGTCGCAACGGAACGCGCGGATTGCCTGGCAGAGTGCACAGGGGGCAGAAGACGTGAGCAGGATGGAAAGTTAAGCGATAACCTGCACTGTGGAACATCTTTTGCTGAATCTTTCACGCTAGCTGGCGATGAATCGGATGAGGGCAGTTTCCTTAGAAACCGTTCATCGATAGCAAGAATTCAGCGTGTAATTAGCTCGGTATCGCTTACATAATGAAGCAAAAACACAATAAAACAGTGCCTTTTATGGGATATGATGAGATTTCGCTTCTTTAAGTGTAATCATATATTTATTAGCTATCACGTAGTCTTGCACGGAACTAAATTTACCTTCACTGAAGATGGGCGCAGAGAAAAAAAAAGGGTGATTCTTAAAACAATCAAAGATCTCCTTAATAATTTTTTATTTGACGCATTTTGTATGCTATTATTTTTTAACATGTAAAGCTATATTTAACGCTCTCCGGATTAGCAATTGTCTTCATATAATCATATCTCCTTGACGTTCTAAATGTCAAGGGATTATTCCAAATGTGAACAGTACCTACATAATGAATTATAATTAGAGGAGGTGTGGAAAGACACGGGTTTCTCAGAACTGCAGCCATGTTTATTATTTCTACTTTTTAAAAACTACTCGGGTCTCAATAATAATAAATAATAAATTTCGCGATTCTTGTCAATCTCCTTTTAATTATAAGCACGAAATTAAACGCAGCAATAACGATGAAATATTCATTTTAAATGCCAGCTATATATAATGAACAATGAGTCACGAATTTTACACACAACTTTTCAGTCAAGGAAGAGACTTTTTAAAAACAAGTTGATGTTGATGTTTAAATTTTGGGCATCCTTTCTTCCTCTGGCCTCGTTTGTTTGAAACAAGAAAACTTTTAAAATAAGTATTTCGAGTATTCCATGGGGTTTTAATTAGATAATGCAGTTCATGATCACTCATAACAGAATCGCCAGCATAATAGCGTGGCCTAACTAAATATACGCGTCATTTAACATATGTTGAAAGTGAAAAAGAATTATGTGAAAAGAAACAATTAAACTGGCTCCTTTTTTCACAGCTCGTGCAGATGGCGGCCGTAACATCCTTTGTTGTAATTGTTTTAAAACTGAATAACCTTATTGATCCTTTTCTATTTCATTTTGTTTTATTTTATTTGTTTTTTTTCTTGGTTGCTATAATACATGGTTCAAGTGTCAATCATTGTAAAGCGCTAATGAATTACTGGGAAACAGCGTTTTAAAAAACTGCACCGTCATTTTTCAGTTTTGAAACTTTAATACAGAGCTTTATATGGTTACCACTGTTTGACCAACGTTAACAAATAAAACAATGTATTTATTATTACTGTTTACTATTATTTTCATATTTACCGTACCAACTCACAGCTAGCCAATCACAAGCCGTGTCTACTATCCAAGTATTCTGCAACATGGCTGTGATATCATAGTCACTTGGACGAATTTAGGCACGGCAAATACCTTATCTTCCCTATTTGCTAGCAAATGTTTTTAAGCAAGCAACCGTGGTCCTGCTGGTATACATTGATCAATAATGATCTACTTACCATAGAAAAATATATAAGAATATATATATAAGAAGAATATAAAAAAGGGAAGACTGATTCAACGTAGAATATAGAGGACAGCTTTTAAAAGTTCATTTCACGTTGTACCGGTCTCTGCTTTTACACTTCGGTGGTATATCAGGTTCATTTAGTCCGGCTAGCCATGGGTATTTTGAATCCGGCAACTGATACCCGGAAAAATACGAACCATGGCGCGACCAGCTCAAACTGATAAGTCACCGAAGCGTACAAAAAGTACTATTAGGTCAGTATAAAGTGCCTTTCCATCGCGGCAATTAAAGTATTCGCGAAATCGCGAAATTAATTGCTGCAGCTGTAATTACTTACTAAAGGCAGCCTATTCCGTAGGTTGTGCAAGAAAGACTGTTACATGTATATTCTGTGACATGAAACCTGTTCATATTTCGGTTCGACTGTTTTTTAGCGAATTTCGAAGATGTTATTTACATTTCTTCCATTTCTTCTCATAGATATATATATTTTTAATCTAGAAATCGTTTTTGGTGGGGAATGGTATTTTTCCTTCCTTATAGAAATGTCCCATTCACGGAACATCATATTCTCGCCTATATAATGTTTCGTCCAGAAACTTTTAAGTGCACACTATCAATCGTCCCATCCACCTGACCAGTGTTTACTTTTGGGCCGCCATCAGGTCTCAGGGGGGAGGCTCCCTTTGACGGTTAAAATAAAAGCCGTTTGGGACGGTTGACGGTTAAATTTTAGGTCATTTGACGGTTGACGGTTAATGCTTTCGGAATGACGGGAGCTTTTCACACCTGGAATAAACGTTGGGGGCGTTTTTAAACTTAACAACGCGGACCCGATAATACGAGTAATACAAGGGCCACACGTTATACAAGTTGCGGTAGACTGCAAAACATTCGTTTCTCGGATACCGCAAACCACAGCTTGTAAGCCCTCTCGCTTATAAGCCCCTCCCGTTCTAGGCCCATCTACCTGTAAACAAACTATTGATTGCGATTTTAAACCCCCGGATAAACGCCCCCTAGTTTAAAGTGAAATGAATTCGATTTGTAGTGACGTTTCAAAGCTAAATTTAAAACAAGTTTTTAATTAAGCGGGTTTTTTTTTTTATTCCGCCTATAAG